GTGGCCCAGTGACTCAGCTGAAATCTCTGGCACGGCGTTTTAGCTGCTGCGCACGCTTGTCCCTCCGACGCTGGCGTGGATCCAGCCAAGACGTATCCTCCTCGGAGTCCGATACACCTGGCTCCTGGCCAATCCCAGAAGCACCTGGCTCCTGGCCAATCCCAGAAGCACCTGGCTCCTGGCCAATCTCCTCTCCGTCAGAAGGCACCGAAGGCCGCACCAGAGGGGAAGGTCCTGGAGAGGGAGGTCTGGCCATCTCCTCTCCTTCATGTTCAGAGCCTTCCTCCTCCGATGAGAGGGACCCACAGGACGGAGCCACAACATTTCCTGAGCCACAGGAGCAGAGTCTTTCTGCCAATGGAGTCTTTTTATACTTGCCGTACAGGACGGCCGAGGGAAACGCATGGCACCATGCAAGCAAGAATGCTTCCTGGTGATTTACTGACTCCAACTGACTAGGATACCTGGCATATACTTGACAGGAAAGCCTGGCATGATCCTCAAGCTACAGGAAGAGGTCTACACAGGGAATGGGATACAACAAAGAGTCACAACTTGGGGGTGTTACAATCAATATGTTCCTTTGCTTTGAGGTTCATTTTTTGGTTGTTATTTTAAAAACCCACACTTTGTTTTTAGGAAATTATGTAACATTCGTTCTCTTTCATAAAAATTGTTGTGGTTACTTTTTCTTATATATATATATCTTTGACCAGGATAAGAGAGCTATGTTGACAGCTATTTTCTGATGGCTGCCATTTTATTTTCCCAGAATGCCGCAGGGATGTTTTGTTTAAGGACTAGTTGGGAAATAAAATTGCACTCACTTGTGGGGAGGGCTGCCCCAAATAGTTGACATTTCTAGAAAGAAAGAGAACAACTACGAATCACATGTGTTCGGAGTTATATTCAATTTTTTGTTTGGAGTTACATTCATTTTGAAACAATTCAGGCTCCTCACAGCAACTATTCCCTACTTTTGCTATCATGGGGGGCATGATAGGATAGCACTGTTCCAATATTTGAGGGGCTCCTACAAAGATGAGGGCTTCAGACTATTTTCCAAAGCACCAAAAGGCAAGACAAGAAACAATGGATGGAAACTAACCAAGAAGAGAAGCAATCTAGAACTAAGGAGAAATTCCTAATGGTGAGAGCAATCAACCGATGGAACAGCTTGCCTTCATCACTGGAGGCTTTCAAAAAGAGACGGGGCAACCATTTGTCTGAAATGATAAATGGTCTCCTGCTCAATCAGGGGGTTGGACTAGAAGACCCCTGAGGTCTTTCCCAATTCTATTATTTTATGTTCTATCTTCTTTCTTCTCATTTTTACTCCCTTGTAGGAAGCAAATTGATGTAGCCATCAAAATGCTAAAAGAGGGCAACGGAGTGGTACAGCAGGATGAAATGATGAAAGAGGCCCAGATTATGCACCAGCTTGACAATCCTTACATTGTCCGTCTCATTGGAGTGTGTCATGCGGAAGCCCTCATGCTGGTGATGGAGATGGCATCAGGTGGTCCCCTGCACAAGTTCTTGTCTTCCAAGAAGTGAGTTGATGCCATCACATCATGCAAGAAATTTATACCTTTCCATCAATTCAAGGTCTATGGAGATTCTCAGTCATCCAGGTCATGGTTGCTCCCAAGGTGTTTTTTCCCAAAGGCAGCTGGACTTTGTGTTTTCTTGAAGATGTTTCGCTTCTCATCCAAGAAGCTTCTTCAGTTCTGACTGTCTGACAGTCTGACAGTTCTGACAGTCAGAACTGTTGCATGAGAAGCAAAACGTCCAAGGAAAAACCTTTTGAAAAAGCACTTTTGGGAGATCCATCAATTCAGTGTCACTGAGATAATCATAAAACCATATATTCTGGAAGGGTTCTTTGATGTCATCTAGTCCACCTTTCAGCTAAGTGGAGTGGGAGAGTGGGAGAGGCCCTGGGACTCCTGACCCAGGCCGTGCATGAGCACCTCTCTGCCCAGGGGCTGAAAATCCTCCTTGACAAGTTGCCGAATTTTGATCACATGGCCACAGGGATGTTGCAACAGTTGTAAGTGTGAAAAACAGTCAAAAGTCACTTTTTTCAATGCCATTGTAGCTTTGAACAGTCACTAAGTGAATGGTTGTAAGTCAAGCACTACCTGTAATAAGGAAATGAACGAGGGCAGGGTTATGTTGTGCTTGTGAGATAACCCTTCCATTATCTGGAATTCTCCAGATGTATTTGATCTACCAATCCTAAAATACTTACCAGCAGCCAAGTGGAGAGGTAAAGTACCAGTCCATAAGGAGCACAACAAGTACAAGTAGTCCTTGACTTATGACCACAGTTGAGCCCAACATTTCTGTTGCTAAGCAAGAGAGTTATTAATTGAGTTTTGCCCCATTTTACCATCTGTCTTGCCAGAGTTGTTAAGTGAATCACTGAAGTTGTTAAGTTGGTAACATGGTTGTTAAGTGAATCCAGCTTCCCCATTGACTTTGTTTGTCAGAAGGTCACAAAAGGTGATCACGTGACCCCAGGACACTGCAACCATCATGAGTCAGTTGCCAAGCAGCTGAATTTTGATCAGGGCTATGGGGATAGCTGCAATGGTCATAAGTGTGAAAAACGATCATACAACACTTTTTTCAGCGGCTTTCTAACTTTAGTCATTACATGAACTATTTTAAGTCAAGGACTTTCTATACAGGAATGCGGTTATGAGATTTTTCTCTCTTCATTTTCCCTTAGGGATGAAGTTCCTGTGAACAATGTGGTCGAGCTGATGCACCAGGTGTCCATTGGGATGAAGTATCTGGAAGAAAAGAATTTTGTCCACCGGGACTTAGCTGCCCGAAATGTGTTGCTTGTCAACCAGCATTATGCCAAGATCAGCGATTTTGGGCTTTCCAAAGCTTTGGCAGCTGATGACAGTTATTATATGGTGAGCAAGAAGACAAGATGGGAAATCAATCCTGCCGGCATTTCAGAGAGACCAATAAAGGAGGATATTTGTAGCTCAAGGTTGACATGAGGGGTCCTTGGCGCTCTCTGAGCTTGCTTGTTTTCTTGCAGGTGTTTCATTACCCAAACTAGGTAAGATCATCAGGGCTAGTGCATTAGTGCATCGCTAGCACTGATGATCTTACCTAGTTGGGTAATGAAACATCTGCAAGAAAACAAGCAAGCTCAGAGAGCGCCAAGGACCCCTCATTTCAGAGAGAATTTTGTTGGAAGGATGGGAAGGATTATTTCATTCTCATTTTAATGCAAGCATTCCCAGTTAGAATTTCCTGAATGTATAAAGCCACAGCAAATATCCTTTTTTCTGTTGTTGTTAGTTGCGAAGTCGTGTCCAACCCATCATGACCCCATGGACAATGTTCCTCCAGGCCTTCCTGTCCTCTACCATCTTCTGGAGTCCATTTAAGCTCACGCCTACTGCTTCAGTGACTCCATCCAGCCACCTCCTTCTCTGTCGTCCCCTTCTTCTCTTGCCCTCAATCTTTCCCAGCACTAGGCTCTTCTCCAGTGAGTCCTTCCTTCTCATTAGGTGGCCAAAGTACTTGAGTTTCAACTTCAGGATCTGGCCTTCTAAAGAGCAGTCAAGGTTGATCTTCTCTAGGACTGACCGGTTTGAGCGCCTTGCAATCCAGGGGACTCGCAGGAGTCTTCTCCAGCACCATAATTCAAAGGCCTTGATTCTTTGGCGCTCAGCCATTTTCTATATATCTCTTTTTCTTTATACCTTTTTTACAGTTCTGTCCCTAGTCTCTTTTATCTTTCTTTCTTTCTTTCTTTCTTTCTTTCTTTCTTTCTTTCTTTCTTTCTTTCTTTCTTTCTTTCTTTCTTTCTTTCTTTCTTTCTTTCTTTCTTTCTTTTAGGATTTAGGATTTATTATATTTATACCCCGCCCTTCTCCCGGAGGACTCAGGGCGGCTTACAGCCAGTTTAAAAACAGTTTGATACAAATACAATACAAAATTTAAGAGAATAATTAAAAATAAATATTTAAATAGGCTGTTTCTACTAAAATTTAGTTAAAACCAATTTAAAATACCCCTAGGCCAGTCCTGCCCGCTGAAACAACCAAGTTCTTTCTTTCTTTCTTTCTTTCTTTCTTTCTTTCTTTCTTTCATTAGTCAGTGAGTGAGTGAGTTAGTTAGTCAGTTAGTTAGTTAGTTAGTTAGTTACAGGTAGTCCTTGACTTACAGCAGTTCATTTGGTGACCATTTGAAGTTACAAGGGCACTGAAAAAAGTGACTTATGACCATTTCTCACACTTACAGCCACTGCAGCATCCCTAGGGTCACGTGATCAAAATCCAGACATTTGGCAACTGGCTTGTATTTATGACGGTCGCTGTGTCCCCGGCGGTCATGCGATCCCCTTTTGCAACCTTCTGACCAGCAAAGTCAATGGGGAAGCCAGATTTATTTAACAATTGTGCCCAGAAAGGTTGCTAAATGGGGCAAAACTTGCTTAATAAATGTCTCACATAGCAACAGAAATTGTGGGCTCAGTTGTGGTCGTAAGACTACATGTATTTATATTTCATTTTTCTAAGCTGCTCATCTCCTATCTCCCTCAAAGAGAGGCTCTTGATTATTAGTTTATGTTTATGTGCATGCTTTGTAAAACGTGATAAAATTATTTGGAACAAAAATACCAAAGTAAAAAGAGACCCAGATCAGGAAAATCAGGAAAAACAAAAACAAAAAAAAACCAAATCAGTAAAAAAACAATCATGACAAAAAATAGAACCATGCAATGAATCTTTGAACATGATATGAGTGATGTGAATATCGCACCTGCATACAGCCTTTTAAAGCAGCCGTGTGTTTTTTAGGGTTGCCAGGTGTCCACTATTTGAGTGGACAGTCCACTTTTTTCACATTATGTCACAAAATAGTGGACATTTTTTTTATTCAAAAGCTTTATGATGAAATGGTACGTAATCTAAAGCTGTACAGTCTACTTTTTTTACTACTTAACACCCCCCCCCCCCCNCCCCCCCCCCCCCGCTTGTCCGCTATTTTTTGGAAGCAGACCTGGCAACCCTAGTTTTCTTGGGATTGCATAGCTATTGCCAAGGACAGACCATGATCATAGGAAATGTATGAGTACTTTAAGGAGTTGCAGACAAATGCGACATTCCTGCTCCTGTCCATTCTGACTTGTTTTTCCAAATGTATTGTTTATTTTTCTTTATTTAAAGGATGTGTAGACCAGGGGTAGGCAACCTTGGCTCTTTTATGACTCGTGGACTTCAACTCCCAGAATTCCTCAGCCAGCATGTCTCAGTTTGGAAACCTCTCCCTTTCCCCTCAGCATGGCTGGCTCAGGAATTCTGGGAGTTGAAGTCCACGAGACATAAAAGAGCCAAGGTTGCCAACCCCTGGTATAGACCTTTAGAATCTGGCAACTGTGTAAATATTTCAAAAGAAATTCCTAGTCCAGTGATGGCGAACCTTTTAGAGATTGAGTGCCCAAATCTGTCCCACCCCCTGGCCCGCCGCCGCTCTGTTCCCGCCCCCACCTCGCCCGCCTGCAGGGCTACCCACCACCTCCATGGCCCGCTGCAGCAGATCGCCCAGGCGGCCCTGCAGCGCCATGGTGGCCACGCCCTCCGCCCGTGCCCCGCAGCATCTGCACACGATGGGGCGCGAGGGCGGAGTCTTTTCCCTGCTGCCCAGCTGCCATATGCTTCGCTGCGCTGGTCCACGCGGGCCGCACCAGGGGCAACTTTCCTCCGGGGTGGTGGCTGGTGAGGAGGTGGCTGCAAACGGAAGCAGGTCTGGGGCGGTGGCATGCGTGCCCACAGAGAGGGCTCTGAGTGCCGCCTCTGGCACACGTGCCATAGGTTCACCACCACTGGCCTAGTCTTTGAAAATATGGTTACCAAAGCAGAAATAAATGTAAAATAAAGAGACAGAAGAAAACCGGGGATGTGTGTGTGTGTGAAATTTCCTCTACAATTGCTAGGTCAGTGGTTCTCAACCTTTTTAATGCCGCGACCCCAACCGGTCGTAAGTCGAGGACTAAACCGGTCATAAGTTGAGGACTAAACCGGTCATAAGTCGAGGACTACCTAACCGGTCGTAAGTTGAGGACTTTCCCTGCCCGGGAGCGCCTCGCATGCGTGGTTCCGCCCCTGCGCTGGCCGAGGCGTAGCTGGCAAGCGGCAGAGACGGAGCAGGCTGACCACCAGCTGGCCCAGCCCAAGGGAGGTAAGGCACCCGCCGGAAAAGGGGGAAAAATGGACAAAAAAATGGCGGACAGCCTTGCTTGGCGACCCCCGTGAAATGGTCGATCGACCCCAAATGGGGTCCCGACCCACAGGTTGAGAACCACTGTGCTAGGTGAATGGGAAAGTCTTACTCTGGCACAAGAAAAAGTCAATTAAGTTCTAACTCAGCCCCAGAAAAATTGAGGGTGCCACTGCGGAAAAGCGCTTCTTTTTTAAAAATTCATAACATGATATTGCTAAAAAGACTATTTGAAGAAAGGCTATAGAAACTTAAAATCTTAAATCTCAGGATGCAGATCAATTTTAAATATAATTTGTTTGGGAGTTTGTTTTTTGTCTACATTATCAGGGAAATATTTTGATCTATTGAATTTGATCACTGTATACATAAAGAAACAAACAAATGAATTGGTAAACCCTGTTAAGTGCACTTGTCTGTGTGGGTGCCGCAGCAGAGTCTGTTCTACTGAATATCAAAAATCCACCTAGATAGAAATCTATGATGGATATCTTTTATGACCTTTAAGATAAAGCTGCTTATACAGTTATCGAAAATTTAGGAGAGTTTCAAGAGTTGCAGAGAAGACTACATCACTTTCCCCCCATCATTTTGTATTTTAGGAAAAATAAATATGTGCTTGTACAAATAGTCCTGGACTTATAACCATTTGTTTAGTGACCGTTCAAAGTTCACACTTACGACCGTTACAGCATCCCCATGCTCACATGATCAAAATTGAGATGCTTGACAATTGGTTGATATTTATGGCTGTTGCGGTGTCCTTGGGTCATGTGATCACCTTTTGCAACCTTCAGACAAGCAGAGCAAATGGGGAAGACAGATTCACTTAACATCTGTCTCTCTAACTTAACAATTGCAGTGATTCAATTAACAACTGTGGCGAAAAAAGGTTGTAAAACAGGGTGAAACTCATTTAACAACTCTCTCGCTTAGCAACAGAAATGTTGGGTTCCGTTGTGGTAGTAAGTCAAGGACTACTTACTTGGTCTTCTCAAATAATTTATCTCATCCAAAGAGTGTTTACTGGAGAAATTTCCATTCTGTCCTTGCCCACAGGCCAAAACCACTGGGAAGTGGCCTTTGAAGTGGTATGCGCCAGAATGCATCCTGTTTCGGAAGTTTTCAAGCAAGAGTGACGTCTGGAGTTATGGGGTGACTATGTGGGAGGCCTTTTCTTATGGCCAGAAACCTTACAAGGTGAATATGGATAGAATTTGGGTGTTCACTAGGGAGGGTTCAAAAAAGTTAAGATGGTGCTGTGATCACACAATTCTAAGAATGGGGCTGCAATTGTACGGTTGGGAGGCCACTTAAATGAATTTTGTATTTTTGTTATTTTTTAATTGTATATTTATTGCTTTATTTTGGTAAATACATTTTGACTTTTGACTAGCCCAGGGATGGGCAACCTTGGTTCTTTTATGACTCGTGGACTTCAACTCCCAAAATTCCTGAGCCAGCCATGCTGAGGGGAAAGGGAGGTTTCCAAGTTGAGTGATGCTGGCTCAGGAATTCTGGGAATTGAAGTCCACGAGTCATAAAAGAGCAAGGTTGCCTACCCCTAGACTAGCCCATGAGTGCCTCTGAATTGGAACCTACTTCTGGATGTGTGCAATTGGCTTCAGGTTTTTGTAAACAGGATTCAGCCAAAATTATTTTCCTCATATGAAAGCTTTATTAAGTGTTTGCTGCAGACCGGAGGTAAAAATAGTGTTGGTTAAACACAAAAAAAACCTTTTCCAGCCAAAGCACCTGATTTCATCATTTTATTTTCTAAGAATAGCTTTGAGATCGCTATTTATTTGTATCCTACTTTTATTATTTTTACAAATAACTCAAGGCGGCAAACATATCCAGCACAGCTTCCTCCTCCTATTTTCCCCACAACAACAACCCTGTGAGGGGGCTTGGACTTAGTGAGAGTGACTGGCCCTAAGTCACCCAGCTAACTTTCATGGCTATGGTAGGACTTGAACTCGTGGTCTCCTGCTTTCTAGCCTGGTGCTTGAACTACTAGCCCAAGCTGGCTCTCTATGGGCTCAGAGGTGATGGCAGATATAAAGGTTTTACTTAAATATAAAGCTTGCTTTGTAGCATGTTAGCTTCCACTTAATGACTTTTAATATTAAAATAATCTTTAGATAAAGGATTGGGTGGGGCGGGCAATCTGGTGAGCATCAAGGAAGGTATTGCCAAGAGTCCTGATGTCTCCAAAGAACCTAGAAAGTAGGAAGCTGAATTGATCATGAGGTTTTGTGTGTTTGCTTATTTAAAAGATGCCCATTTTACACAATATAAACCTGGGAAGCTAACCCAACCCAACCCGTATAACATCAAGAAATAGTCCCTTTCTAGAAGACAACCAAGACATCAAAACAGTTTAACACCAGATGCACATGTGTTGGGCTCAACTCCCATCCTGGCCCAGCACCAGGGGAAGAGTCAGGTTTTCATAGCCTTCTGGAAGGTCAATGAAGTAGGAGCCCTCTGGCTTGTTTTGGGTTTTGTCGCTCCTTGTAGAGCAGTGATGGCGAACCTTTTAGAGACCGAGTGCCCAAAAACTGGCCCCGCCCCTGCTCCACCCCCTGCCCCATCCCCACTCCGCCCCACCCTGCCTGCCCGCAGGGCCACTCATCGCCTCCAGGGCCCGCCACAGATTGCCCAGCCAGCCCAGTAGCACCATGGCGGCCACGCCCTCTGCCTGCGCCCCGCAGCATCAAGTGTGCGTGATAGGGCAAGAGGGCAGAGTCTTGTCTATGCTATCTGGCTGCCATGTCCTTGGCTGCGCTGCTCCTCATGGGCCATGCTCGAGGGTGACTCTCCTCCAGGGGGGCTGCTGGTGAGGAGGGGGTTGTGAGCGGAAGTAAGGCTGGGGCAACGGCACGTGTGCCCACAGAGAGGGCTCCGAGTGCCGCCTCTGGCACCCATGCCATAGGTTCGCCATCACTGTTGTAGAGTAAGGAAGATGACTTTGATGGAAATATTGCACAGGCAAAAGGAGCTGAAGCATTTTTTTAAAAAGTCCACAACAGCCAGAAAACATTAGTAAACAGTTCAGAGCAACATCTCCCTAATTCACAAGAGTATAGGAAGGGGAAGGAGGCCTAGCACGATCAGCCTTGCCAAACTCTTATGATAGCCAGTTTCAGTCAAAGTAGTTTTAGCTTTCTTGCGCACTTGATGTCATGATCTGGTCTACTTAAGTGGGGCTGACACTAGCATTTTACCAAAACAGATGTTCAACTTTATTAACCAATCTCTTTCTCCCCTTCTAGAGAATGAAAGGACCCGAAGTCATGGCGTTCCTTGAGGAAGGGAAGCGTATGGACTGTCCATCGAGCTGTCCGCCAGAGATGTATAAGCTGATGAATCTATGTTGGACGTACAAGTAAGGCGAGACCATCAGTTCAGTTTGGCAGACCATCAGACCATCTTTCAGTTTGGCAGCAGAGGCAGGCTGAGTCTATCGGTCAAGGAGGATCATATTTCCAGACTCAGAAAGCATGCTTTTCTGAATCGATAAAGGAGAATATTTGTAGCTCAAAGCCAAAATAAAGAAGAGGGCTTGGTGTTCTCTGAGCTTGGTTGTTTTCTTGCAGATGTTTCATTACCAAAGTGGTTAACGCAGTGATGGCGAACCTTTTAGAGGCCGAGTGCCCAAACTGCAACCCAGAACCCACTTATGTGTCGTCGGGTGCCGGGTGGGTGTGGCCCATTGGGTGGGCGTGGCTGTGGTGGTAATGGCAGACTGGGTGGGACTAAAAAGTTCAATCAATCAATTCCAACTTTGCGAGATCTTTTTTTCCCACGAGAAGTTGAAATT